GAGAAAGCTAGTGTGTATAGATGGGCAAGCAAAGAAGAAGGGACCAGAGAAAAAGAAAGAATGAGAGAAAGGAAGGGAAAAGGAGACAAAATAGGAGAGAGAGAGAGAGAGAGAGAGAGAGAGAGTGTGTGTGTGTGTGTGTGTGTGTGTGTGTGTGTGTGTGTTTAGGGGCTTGAGCTCAAAGCTTGGGCTGTCACTGAGCTTTTGTGCTCAAGGCTGATGCTCTACCACTTAAGCCACAGCTCTTCTTGCAGTTTTTTTGAAAGTTGGCTGGAGATAAAGTGTCTCACAGACTTTCCTGCCTGGGCTGGCTTTGAATCACAATCCTCGGAGATCAACCTCCTGAGCACTAGAATCACAAATATGAGCATGAAAAAAATAGCAATGAGGATATCAAAAGTTACAAATTACAACTTTAACACTTGAATTTGGGTGAAGAGAAAAACAGAAGACCAGAAAAAAAAACAATGTTTCATGTTGGGTTAGAAGAGAGAAAATACTTTGAGAATTCAAACTACCCATTAGAAGAAATGAAGTTCACTATGTGAACTACCACCCTAGGTATATTCTCAAAGAGACCAGATAGGAGGAAACATTCATATATAAAATAGAGACATGTATAAAATAGAGAGAGCTTTAATAAAAAGACACATATAAAATAGAAATAGCTTTAATAAAAAACACTACAATATCCTCAGCACCAGGGATTCATTGTAAGTTCTAAAACAATGCTTTCTGATATCATGTTTAAAAAATAGTTTTTACCTCTTTCCATACAATGGTGTGCCACATACCATTTCTTAACACTGTAAAAGAAGAATAATAAAACACAATGAAGTAGTTAGTGCTGATGGTAATTAAAATAAAGTTTTCCAAAACTCTAAATGATTCCTTATATACTTGCATTTATTATCTCTAATATATTATACCCTTACAGAGAAAGGTATAAAATCACCATCCACAAAAAATGGAACTCCAATCTACCTCTTCAATATATACACTAGTGTACACACCCAAATGTTTTTGTGTACATGTAAGTAAAGTTTGATTCTACTCAATACAGAACAGGAAAAAAAGCCTGATGTTACACAACTGCAACAACTGTAGCAAGAGATCTGATGTGCTGAACATAGGTGGCTCATGCTTATAATCCTACCTACTCAGGAGGCTGAGATCTGAAGATTGAGGTTTGATTCCAGCTCAGGCAGAAAAGTCCATGATATTCTTATCTCCAACTAGCCAGCAAAAACGTATACATGGAAGTGAGACTCAAGTGGTAGAGCACCAGCCTTGAGCAGAAAAAGCCAAGCAAAAACTCTAGGCCCAGTACCAGAACAAAACAGACAATGACAGACAGACATATAGATAGATAGATCTGACATAAAACAATGAAAAAAATAGGAAAAGAGAGGCAGGGAAGAATAACCCAAGAATAAGAACGTTTGAATACTTGGACCTTTTGGGTACATAACAACTATCTAATTTCTTGCTGAGTGATGGTGACTCACTCCTGTAATCTTACCTTCTTAGGATGCTAAGACATGAAGATAAAAATTCAAACCCAGCCCAGGAAGGTAAGCCTGTAAGATTCTTATTTCCAATTAACCACTAAAAAGCCAGGAGTGGAGCTGCAGCTAAAGTGGTAGAGTACTAGTCTTGAGCAAAAAAGCTCAGGGACATCGTCCAGGCCCTAAGTTCAAGTCCTAGTCATATACACACATACATACACACACACACACACATACATACACACACACACACACACACACACACACACGCTGTCCAATTCTTTTTTTGGGGGGCGGGGAGGTTTCAGTCATGGGGCCTGAACTCTGACTCTGGGCCTGGGCACTGTCCCTCAGCTCTTTAGCTCAAGGCTAACGCTCTACCACTTGACCCACAGCACCACTTCCAGCTTTTTTCTTTTTGCTTATGTGGTGCTGAGGAATTGAACCCAGGGCCTCATGCATGCAAGGCAAGTGCTCTACCACTGAGCCACCTTCCCAGCCCCAGCTGTCCAATTCTTAAAAATTACAACTTTTTCTAAAATTTGAAATCCTATTTAGATCTATTCAGATCCTGTTTAAACTATCAAGACTAAGTGTTGTTTGTTATTATTTGTTATTATTTCTTTTGTATTTTGTAGGTGATTTTCTTTTTTGTTTGTTTTTTTGGGTCCGGTCATGGGGCCTGAACTCTGGGCCTGGGTGCTGTCCCTCAGCTCTTCAGCTCAAGGCTAGCGCTCTACCACTTGAGCCACAGCGCCACTTCCGGCTTTTTTCTTTTGAGGAATCGAACCCAGGGCCTCTGGCATGCAAGGCATGAGCTCTACCACTGAGCCACCTTCCCAGCCCCTTGTAGGTGATTTTCTTAATTTGTATCCATACCATTAACTGCTTATTGTGAATCCCTTAAATACAGTTCTTAATCTTAAAGTTTAAGAGTAGAAAAAAATGATATCTTACCTATTGTTTTCTTCTTATTAACTGCATTGTCTGCCTTATGTCGTTTCTGTTACAGAAAGAAAAACAGTCATAAATTCAAAAATTCCAAGTGAATAACTGAAATGACAAAGAATAAGACTAGAGAAAAAACCTGGAGGCCAAGAAACTACAATGCTAATGTTGTACAATCCAGCTTCATGCTTTATGATCTACGATCTTTGACAACATTTAAACAGACCCACCGTGGTGATGTGATTATATTTTAGCTCCTTATATTTTTATTATCTTTAAATAGTTGTACAAAGGAGCTGCCATTTAACAAAGCAGTTTATATATGCACCTTGATCAGTCACCTCTTTCAACATTCATTCTCACCCATCCCTCCTAACCTTAATTTGTAGGATATGCACAATTATTTACTGCATTCTCCCCTTTACTGCTTTCTTCTCTTCATTTATCTATGTTTTAGTTCTAATAATTAACAATGACTGTAAAGTATAAAATGCCTTACTTCTCATTTATTTATAAACAGACTAAAAGGATGGTTTGATATGATGAAGCAATCACAATCAATTTTAATTTTCAGTTTACATTAATTTACTACTTATCCACCATTTGTGTGTGAGAAAGCTAGTGTGTATAGATGGGCAAGCAAAGAAGAAGGGACCAGAGAAAAAGAAAGAATGAGAGAAAGGAAGGGAAAAGGAGACAAAATAGGGACATTGTTTTAGCCAGTGAATTTGGAGATACCCCAGGGGAAATGCCAAGCGACAAATCCGAGTGTGTGTGTGTGTGTGTGTGTGTGTGTGCATGTGCGCGTGCGCTCGCATGCCAGTCCTGAGCTTGAACTCAGGGCCTGAGTGCTATACTTACTCTCAGCTAGCCACAGCCCCACTTTGGGCTTTTTTTTAAAGTAGTTTAGTGGAGATAAGAGTCTCACAGACTTTCCCTGCCCTAGCTGGCTTTGAACAATGCTACCCAGCTCTCAGCCACCTGAGTAGCTAGTGAGCCACCAGCACCCAGCATATGAGATAAACTCCTATAAAATTACTTTAGAGATAGCAAAGGCAATGCTATTTTCCTAGACAGCACATTTGCTACCCAAATTAACAAGCTTTAAAGAAGGATTTAAGAAACAATAGTAATACCTCTCAAAGAGAAAGGTTCCAGAGATCCAACAATTGAAAACAAAATTAGAACTACTTCAGATCACTGTATTCAAGATATTCTGAGTTCCCTTCTTTAAAAAATACCATCCCTCATCTAGAGGCTACTGAAGCTATTTTCTGTCTTAGGCATGTTATCCAAAGAAATGTATATATGTAATAAGTTCTATACCATGAAATATATTTTATTACCCAAAAGCAAAAACTTACAAAATCTTCTACAATCTCTTTGATGCCTGCAATTGTTAGGATAATAATCAATGGCACCAGGGTGGTGTATCTTCCTGTGGGAGACACATCTGGAATTTGCTGGAAGAGACAAGAGGAAGTCTGTCACTCAGGACTCACTTGTTTGCAATGATTTTCCATTTCTGTTGCACAAAAATGATTGCCTTGTTTTTAAACCTATCTAAACTTCAGCCATGAGTTTGGAATAGAAAAAGGTTCAGACATACAACCCCCTGAGAACCAGTGTTTCCATACCTCTTTTAGAAATTGTAATTTTCCTTGAGGCAATACCAAAACACATCTGTTTTATACAAAGAGCGTGTTTTGTTCACACAGCAATGGTTGTTTTTTTCTTTATTATTATTATCAAGTAGGCTTGTACAAAGGGGTTTCAAGTCAAGATGTCAATTTATGGGTTCGATGCATGTTGATCAATGCCACCCCTTTCATCATTCTTCCATTCCTCCCAACTCCACCCATCCCCCCTTCAAGTTAACTGGTTCCATTTTCACATATGTACATTGACTATTATGACTACACTTGGCCACTCTGCCTCTCCCTATTCATATATCCCAACAATCTCTCCCTCCCCCCACCCAGACAAAACATGTTTCAGCTTGCTGGTATTCATTCTGTTAAGATAGGTTGCACATTAGCAAAGATTTGATGGGGATGGGCAAACAATATGTAAATATTATAACACTTTTCCAATTTAGGAATCTATTAGGAAACTCTCATTTTGTATGATTGAGATGACAAATTTTAAGTAACTTTTTGACATTACCTGTAATAAGGCAATGAAGAGGAAGAAGGCATTAGCAGCTCTTCTAATCTGCTCATACAAGAATCGAGGTAGAAATGTCAACACGCTGTACTTGGCCGTACTGTCAGTGTAAAGAAAAATACTACGGTGAGTTACAGAGGTAAGCCCTAAAAAACAATAGCAAAGCAAAGTTTCTAAAACTTGACAAATTGTTTTCTTGGTTGGTTTTGGTTTTTTGCTAAGGTTCTAGGGCTTGAACTCAGGGCCTCATGCTTATGCCTTTTTGCCCAAGGCTGGCACTCAAACACTTGAGCCACACCTCCACGTCTGGCTTTTTGCTAGTTAATTAGAGATGAGTCTCATGTATTTTCCTGCCACAGCTGGATTTAAACCTCAATCTTCAGATCTGAATCTCCTGAGTAGCTAGGATTACAGGTATGAGCCTGGTGTTTAAAATAAAGTTTTAAATTCAGGACAAGGAAAATTGTTTTGTAGTCTCATTAATAGAGCTATATTTTTTAATTTTTTAATTTTATTTTATTGTAAAGATTCTATGCAGAGGGGTTACAATTACATGAGTAAGATAATGAGTACATTTCTTGTCAAGCATTGTTACCCCCTCCTTTGTTGTTCTCCCACTCTCCCTTCCCTCCCCCACCTCCTTCACTCCTCCAGCCCAAAGTTGTAAACTTCACTTCCCATATAGTGTCTTGTGAGTATCATTGTTGCAATGGGTCATCCTGTGCCCTTGTTTCAGCATTTTTTTATTCTCCTTCCCCTCCCCAAATTAGATAAATGTATATATAAGATGCAGGGTACCAAAATCAAGTACAGTGACAACAGGGGATATACCATAGGGGGAAGAACATACAAAGGAAACAAAAATCACATAGTACATTAAAAACAACAACAATAAAGACCTCTTGTATCCATATCTTGGGGTTCATTTTGCTTAGCATCATCTTATATGGTCATATGTACATAGCTTTTGAGCTTTTCTGCACATCAGATAAAATTATCCTAGACATATACTAATTATTGCAAATGAGGGAAACCATGGCCCTATATTTCTTTGGATCTGGCTTACTTCACTTAATATGATTTTTTCCATTTCCTAACAAATGAGGTGGTGTCATTCTTTCTGATGGAAGCCTATAATTCCATTGTATTTATATAACACATTTTCTTGATCCATTCGTCTACTAAGGGGCATCTGGGTTGGTTCCATATCTTAGCTATGCTGAATAATGCTGCAATAAACATAGTTGTATTGGTAGCTTTAGTATGGCCTTGTTTGTGATCATTTGAGTAAAAGCCCAGAAGTGGGATTGCTGGGTCGTAGGGGAGTAGAGCTGTATTTTTTAAAGTGCACATCTTGTTAAGGGAGCTTCCAATGTCATCTCTCTATGAAAAATTTGATATATGTGTTCAGCTTTTACATAGTATAAGCAGGAATATTTACCACCGTCCCCTCCCCCACATACTACAACCTATGTATATACACATAACAAGTCCTATGGGATATGCAGTGCTGAGAGTGGCTCACACCTGTAGTCCCAGCTACTCAGGAGGCTAAGATCGTGATTCAAAGCCAGCCCAGGCAGGAAAATATATAGAACTCTTATTTCAAAAAAATTACCAAAAATCTGGAAGTGGAACTGTGGTAGAACACAAGCTTTGAGCAAAAGAAGCTCAAAAGACAGTGCCCAGACTCTGAATTCAAGCTCCAGGACCAACATAAGTATACATGCATACATACATGCATGCATGCATGTATGCATATTTACATATATACATACATAGATATGTATATATAAATTGATGAGCCTGTTGCTAGTGGCTCATGCCTATATCCTAACTACTCAGGACACTGAGATCTGAGGATTATAGTTCAAAGCCAGCCTGGGCAGGAAAAGTCCATGAGACTCTTATCTCTAACTAAGCAGCAAAAAGCTGAAAGTAGAGATATAGCTCAAGTCGTACAAGGTCAACCTTGCATGAAAAAGCTAAAGGGCAAAGTCCAAGCCCTGATTCTCAAGCCTCAGTACTAGCAATAAATAAATACATGCATATGTATCTATATAAATACATACATATATATATCAATATATACATAAATATATATACATAAAAGAAAACATTTATACACATATGTATACATAAATACATATGTATGTATATGTGTATAAATGTTTTCTTTTCATTATTTCCTAACAATTAGTAAAACAATTCTCTCCATAGCATTTACAATGTATTAGGCATTATAAGCCAACTAGAGATGATTTAAAGTGTACAGAATGTTCACAGGTTCTGTGCAAATCCTACACTATTTTCTTTTTTTTTAATTTTTTTGGGGGGGATCCGGTCATGGGGCCTGAAATCTGGGCCTGGGTGCTGTCCCTCAGCTCTTCAGCTCAAGGCTAGCACTCTACCACTTGAGCCACAGCGCCACTTCCAGCTTTTTTCTTTTTGCTTATGTGGTACTGAGGAATCGAACCCAGGGCCTCAGGCATGCAAGGCAAGCGCTCTACTGAGCCACCTTCCCAGCCCTACACTATTTTCATATAAGGGAACTCATCTTTCTAAATTTGAGTATCCAAGAGGTCCTAGAACAAATCCGCCATGGATACTGAAGGTAACTATTTGTATTTCTCTATCCATAGATCAGATTATGGGAACATAAAGAATGTATATGATCCTTGCACATAGCACACAGCAGTCAATAAATAACTAAATAAATCAAAGACAAAAACTGAGAACCTAGTGGGTAAAATAAACTAGCCTATATGGTTGCTAGCTTACTCTCCGAAAGCATTACTTTGAGGCTGTTCTTTTTCTTTTTTTTTCATTGGTGTAATAAAATTTTATTTTTCTAAATGTACAGCTGATTGTATCTGTTCATGCATCTTCACCAGCAGCGGGGGCATCTCCACCTTTAGTATTTCTAGTGTAAATTGCTTGAGCTCTGTGCTTTGAGACTAACTTGATAAGTCCTTTACTAAGCAGCTCCTGAAGGGCTGCCCTGGCCAGAGAGCCACGAATCTTCAGCCTCTCAGAAACCACAGCAGGGGTTACGAGTTTATAGTTTGGAACTTCCGTACAGAGTTTGTCCTAAGTGGCTTTGTCAAACAGGACGAGGTTGTTGAGTTTATCCCTAACTTTGCCTTTGGACCACTTCTTCTTCTTGGCCTTGCCCCCAGACTTGTTTACTGGGTCCTTGTCTTTCTTGGCCGACTTCCCAGCATCTTTCTTCTTCTTGTCGTCCTTGAGCGGCATCGCAAGGCCTGGAGAGCGGGAGAGACCGCTGTGGCTTCATCAAGATGTCGGACGGAAAAGCAGTCTGTTCTTTTTCTGTGTGTGTGTGTGTCCACATGCACCCAGGACTGAGGCTTGAGCTCAGGGCCTCAGGGCCTCATGCTCTCACTGTGGTTTTTTCATGCAAGGCTGGTGTACCACCACTTGAGCCACAGCTCCACTTCCAGATTTTTGCTGGTTAATTAGAGATAAGGGTCTCATGAACTTTCCTGCCTGACTGGGATACTCAGAGCTCAGTATCCTTAGTAGCTAGATTACAGGTGTGAGCCACCATGCTTATTGTTAACTAAAATATACTCTAGCAAGATATCTAGGGGATTCCAAATGCACTACAAATTAGATGCATTAAAACAGAGAAGCTAAGGGCTCAGGACACACCATATATCAGAGTTATTATGTACTGCTATAAGCCATAACAGAAACTAGTTCTGGGAAGACAAAATAAAACCAAAGCGGACCACTCAAAAGTTTTTGGGGGAAAAAACATTCAAAGTAGCTGCCTTGGGTAGAAGAAGACCAAGATGGGAGAGAAAAGACTGGAGATCCCCGATTCTCATGCTAAGCTCTTCCAACTATTTGAACTTTTAACCACCTACATGTGTCATCTTAAGAATAGTTTTATATTGTAAATAAAAAGTAAGTCACATCCAGATATAGCTACCTAGAAACAGCTGTTCTTTTAGCTAATTATAGGCATGATTCTCTTTGGACAGCTGTTTACTAGAAGATAAAATTAGGTTAAGGCCTCAATTTGTTCTGCTCCCACAAAAAGGTCTAGTAACCATTGTTATCTGATTTTACTCCCTACAACCAGTTCCTCTGGCCAGCAACACCTGAGACTACATTGGGTAAGAGGAGACTTCTAATCTGTCCTAACATTATACATCTAACATTAGTATCACACCCTGGATACACAATTCTGATAAATTCCCTAGGGATCTTCCTTTGAGATGAACAATCCACCTTTCAGCATAAGAGTCTCTGACCTATAACTAACACTCTCTCCCTTTCTCTCTGTCTCTGTCTCTCTCTCTCTCTCTCACACACACACACACACACACACATACACACACACAGAGGGAAATGGAGATCATTCCTCTTTAAATGGAAATCATTTTATTATGAAAAATACTAACCTTTAATAAGTTATCAAACTCCTTCTCAAACTCTGCCAAAGTCCTAGAAAATTTGTCTTTCTTTGTTTTTCTCAACAACCCACATCTTTCCTTTCTGAGTCAATAGCCCAAAAGGTCATCTCCTCTAACAAGTATTTCTCTACTCATCACTACACAGATCACCCATCCATCCATTTTATCACAGAGTGATGTGTATATGTGAGAGAGATACAGACAGACATGCAAGCATACAGACAGGCAGGCAGGCAGGCAGACAGACAGACAGACAGACAGACAGACCGACAGACAGACAGACAGACAGACCGACCGGCAGACAGAAATACGAATTCTCTTTAACCCCCTCTAGGTGCCTTACAAGCTGATAGCTCCTGGCACACCCTGAACAACAGCACAGTGCCCTCTGCTGGCAGGACCCTACAGTGACACTTTCTGCAGTGTTCAAGAGCACCAGAGCAACTCCCATAGCCAAAGTAAGTTCCAGTCCTTCAGCCATCACTAGTAACAAGTCCTCAAAAAAGCAAAATTGAAGAAAGAATCTGAATGCTTCTTCTTTGTCTTATATAGCCACCAGGAACCATTTCAAGTAAAGACATAATGTATAATCAATGATTCCCCCAAGAAATTCTAAAAAGTTAATTTCCATCTCTTTAATTCATTATCACTTAAATAC